TTATAGCAAAGTCATAAAACTTGTCATCTATGTCTATGTTAAAGACTCTCTATCCTAAGAAAGGAAACTTGTTAGATTGAAGGCTATTGAAAATAATAAAGTACATTTTGGTGCTGTTATTCATATGACTTTTTCAGCTTCAAAATAAAGGTACAAGTATCTGGTCTAACAAAAGTTTGACTGGTCCGACAGAACATTCGATTTTGTCAGACCAAATGTCTGACAGTAATTAAAAAATTTCGACAAGTCTGGTACAGTACAGGCCACGAGTTTTCCGCAACGCTCGGTGGAAAAAACACCGTGTGAAACGCTCTGTGTTACACCGTGTACACGGTGTAGCACGGTGCGTGTGTATTTGAAATATACAGGTAGGCACACCGTGCTGCACCGTGTCTAGAAAAATCTCAGCTAATATCCTCCGTGTCGCACCGTGTCCAGTAAATTTCGCTCCGTGTCGCACCGAGTGTCCAGAAAATTCTCCTCCAAGCTGCACCGTGTAAATAGTATTACAGAGAAAATCGTTTGTTTCTGATAAAAATAAAATAATAAATTTTGATGACAATTTATAACTTTGGTTTCTGTATATATAATAATTGTTTTTATTCTACCAGGTATTGGACTCTGAATGGCACGCATGATATTGAGATTAGATATCGGTAAAAAAAAAAATTGAATGATTTTCATTTGAATTAACTGTGTGTCTAGAAATTTATATTTTAGTAAAATTATTCATCCACGTTACAAAATCAAAATGATGAATTTTAGTTTAAATGAATAATTTTATCTCATGTGTTCATGTAACAAAGGAAGACGAAATGGCGTCGAGCTGCATTCGTGTCACATACACTGTATAGTATAAAATCCGAGCTGTATTTATGTTCATGGTTTTAACATGTACAGTACTAGTGTACGATCCAAGCATTATTATGTATATTACTTATTAAAATACATTTATTTTGTTCATCTGGAATAATTCTAAATGTGGATGCGAAAATCGTCAACAGAAACACGAAATTAATGCAATAATTTCAAAGCGTATTTCTCGTAACAGCAAACATTATTTTCATAGCGTAGTATTCACTATGTTATGTTTTAAAAATCCTTTCAGTGTAAGTAATTATTTTGAAAAGATTTTCTTTAATCTTATAAGTTTTTCTATTCTTGCAAAGTGTATAAAAAGCAATACCAGAGAGAGAGAGAGAGAGAGAGAGAGAGAGAGAGAGAGATAGAGACTAATACAACCCCCTTCTAACATAGTCTGTAATTTTTTTTATTCTTCGTTTTATTTAAGTTACGGAAGTCACAATTAATCATTCTATAATTCTATTTAATTGCCACAACTTTTGTTCATATTCATCCCATTTAATGCAATCAATTGCTGTACGCAAATAATCCTCGTGCATCACCTGCCAATTAAAATCCCATGACGCTAGGTGACCTTGAAAGTCTGTTTACGCGGAAAGAATTTCTCTTGTGATTTGAAACAATCTTATGGTCAGTTCCGAGTTCACACCTGTTTAAAAAATATATTGGGTCTCTGCTGGTGGGCCAGGGGCGTCGTATGTTTATCACACCTTTCAAATTCTTTAGCTCTGACCACAGCAAGTGTATACATGTAACACACTCAAATAATATGCGAAATTCATCTTCCAGCTTTCACTACAACAACGATTATAAACTTACATGTACTTTGTTGATTTATTTATCCTTTTTTTTCAGACACAAATAAGCATGTATCCCGTAGATTAAGATTTTAAAAAACGTAACATAAATTTGCAGACTTCTGATAAAGTTTTAACCAGCTGATTCCTATCGCTTTCTGGAAGGGGGGATTTTTAAAAATCGCTAAATATCTATATGTTTTCTCAAACCGTTTTTTTTCTTTTCATTTTTCACACGATATATTTCAGAATGAAGTAATATTCGTACTGAAGTTAGTACATTTCATTTGCCAAAAATTCGGCTGTGATTTTTGTATTCAGCGTGTTTACTAAGTTGATCACTATTTTAATTAATGAAATTTATCAGATTATCATCTCTGAGTTTACCGCATTTAATATTTATCTCCATATTTTACATAATTACAGATTTTTAGTGTTAGTCTTACTGCAATAATCCTTATCTGAATATGTCCAATGATTCGCCAAGTATCGGTATCAAAGAGCAGAATTCATGTGCGAGTCTGATACGTATTTTTTTTTTTAAATTTATTCTAGACACAGTACATACATGTATATATATATATTTTTTTAAATTCTTACAAAATAATTAATTCACTTAGTATAATCACGTATCTGATGTGTATTACGTATGAATGCATACGTATGGAAAAACGATCTTGTATCAACAATTTAATTGAACACGGTTAAAATCAAAATCGAAAGTAGAGACGATCAAGTATTTCATTTATGAAAGTGTGTTTCCTCTTAGTGTAATATAATAATAGTCTATTGAACTTTTTATGACTAATATAATTAGGATTTAACTTGAAACGTGATTGTACTTTTTTTTTTTGGCTGGACACGAGTACGTTGTTATTAATAAATTAAATTTTAAGGCATCTAATTAGTTTAAACATCTGTACGCGATAAAATACAATTATTAATTTATGTAAAAGTACAACAAATATTTGAGAAGAAAGTTCATTAATTTTATTAAATCAGGGCAATGAAAATGTTTAAAATATTTATCATCAGAACTGTGACACATCGTGTTGCACGGTGCACAGGAACGCTGACTTCAAAGATGCCGACAAGGTTCGAGGTCCACGCTAAAGCGTGGGCTTGCGGTCCACGGGGCCCCGTGTTTTTTGCGGAAAACTCGAGGCCTGTACTGTAATTGCTCAAAATTGTATGAAACAGTATGGTAAATTCCATAGAAATAATTTGGCACTCATATCAAAAGTTTTCCCAAGTTATAGATTTAATCTGAAAACAGAATTATGGCCCTTTGTGTTACCATTAGTAACACGAGAGAAATGAATGAATGAATATTTTCTCTCAGATGTCAAATGGTTTCCCTCTTATTAATTTAATCTTATCTTCATTACTTAGAGCTCTCTTTCCCTGTGGAGATTCCATGGTGTGCATTATTGATGATAGAGAGGACGTATGGAATTACTCCCCAAACTTAATCCATGTGAAGCCCTACCGCTTCTTCCAAGGCACCGCAGACATCAACGCTCCACCAGGACTGGAGAAAAAGGAACATGATAAAGACCCACTAACTCACAAAGTACATGTCATCTCCAGATCCAACAGCAAAGAGGACAACGGTGAGAAAGGGGAAGATAAAGAGGGGAAGGGGGGAGAAACTGAAGAGAAAGAGGGAGGAAAGGGTGGCGGAACAGAAAATGGTGAGGCAGCTAAAACCGACTCAGAAAAAACTGATAGGAAGTGTGAAAAAGACATTGAGAAAAAATCCTCTGATAATAACACAAAGAAAGAGAATAAAGATGATGTTGAAAGTGCAAAAGAAACAAATAAAGCTCAAGACAATGGAAAAGAAGAGGATTCTGTAAAAAATAAGGATGAAAGTATGGATTGTGAAAAGAATGTTCAATCAAATTCAGAAGCTGCAAAAGCAGTTTCACGTGATACAGAAAAGTCAGATAGTGAAAAGAATGGAAAAGTGGAGGAAAGTGAAGAAAAGAAAGATGACAGAGAGAAGGAAGAAGATGTGAAGACAGAGGATGTGGAAATTGAGTGGGATGATGATGATGACTATTTATTGTACTTAGAAGAAATCCTGACCACCGTTCATAAGGCATTTTACGATATGTATGATCAGCTCAAATTAAAGGGAGAGAATGCGGAAAAACCTGATATGAAAAACATCCTACCTTACGTGAAAAGAAAAGTGCTTAAAGGAAAAAATATTCTATTTAGTGGTGTTTTTCCTATGAGTGTTCCATTAGAGAAGAGTAGGGCCTACCATGTGGCTAAAATGCTTGGTGCAAATGTTCACACAGACTTCATACCTAGAGCAAAAGATGGTTCAAATAAATCGGACTACACAACTCATGTAGTGGCAGCTAGACTTGGAACTGTTAAGGTCAAAATGGCCCAGAAACACAAATATGTGAAATTAGTGAATCCTCAATGGCTGTGGGCATGTGCAGAAAGAATGCAGCATGTGGATGAAAGACTTTATCCACTTAATGACTCCACTTCTGGAAATGCTTACTGTGAAAGTCCTGATCCATCACGGCTCAATAGAAAACGCAAAAATGAAGAGGAATCAGACTCAGGAAAACGGTCTAGGAGGAATGATGATGGTGACAAAATTCCTCCCCAAGAAGAAATGGAGGCATCAGAAAAGGTGGAAAAAGATGAAGAGGTGGAAGACCTGAAAGTGAAATCGGCAGCTAAAATCACCTCTGCTCGTTTCTCCACCAGCTATAACCCAATGTTAGCCTTCTCAGATGAAGATCTAGAATGCATGGACAAGGAAGTGGAAGACTTAATGGACGAGGATGGAGATGAATCTGAGGAAGATGATATCGACCGAAATGAGAGGATCCGAATGTCTGTCCTCAGCAGTGGGGATGACGACAACTCCAGTAGCGAGGAGAGCATGTCGGGGGATCTCCCCAGGGGGTGGAGCCTGAAAAAAAGGCACAGGTCCTCCAAGTCAGGGGACAGTAGCTCTGATAATGAGGAAACCCAGAAGCACAGAGACGAAGAGAGTGAAAATGAATTAGAAAAGTATGAAAAAACAGTGGCAGCTTTTGCACCAGATACTGAATCTGAAACACAAGATTCTTTTGCGGAATCTATTGGCTCTGTTGATGATGAAATGGCAGAGGCTGTGGAAAGAGAATTTCTGGCCAACTGATTGTTAAAGATTTTAGTCAGTTATTAATGTTTTAATAAATTTATTTTCTTTGATTTTTTTTTGTTCATCCTATTAATGATGAGAAGAGATACATGTACAGAGAATCTCAGCTACAGTGAAGTTTTAGGGACCTTTGAAACTTCTTTGCTACATCAGTAATTCGATAAATCCATTAAGTACATGTACATGTTATAAATTCCTTCAAATAGTACAGCAAATTCACAATACATATTTTTTTGTAAGTCTTCAAATATGTTCAGAAAACTAATACAAAAATTGTTTAGAGAAGTTTTCGGATGAATTGGAAATACTGTGGAATCATTTGATTTTATGGTGGCTCAATTTTCACAGAATAATACGTGGGTACCTCTCATCCTGGAATCAACATTTTCCTCTATGTACCATAATCATCCATGATTACAAAGTGCTATTTCCTTCTGTGGGTACAAGACTAACAAAAGAATACACAAAATTATGCCCCCTCTGACCTGTAAAAATTTAGTAAATCCACGAAAAATTGGTTCCCACAAAGTTTATTGATTTCAAAATTTGAATATTTATTGAAAATAATGTCATTTTTGAGGCGCATCGTTTTCGATGCAGCCTCATTGCGATCACCTGGCAATTTTTTCTCATCTAAACTGCGGCGGCAAAGGACTCAATAATATTGATTCTTTAAAACACGTTATTAAAAATAGTGCTAATGTACATTGACAAATTGGCGATATCCATTGTTAATTTTAAACAGCTAATAAAATAAAATCTCACACATACATGTTGTTTTTACTTTGAATCAACAGAGGTTACGAAGAATTAGAAAATAAACAATCAAAACAAAGAGAGAAAACATCAACAAACATCACTGCGCGGAGTAAGACCTATTTGCATAACAACAGCTCGTACTATAAATTACTCGGTTTTGTATCGGGTTCATAATAAACCGTATACCACGCCCGATTGTTTATTTCAGTCCCGTATAATTTATATGAACATTTCATGTATATAACATTTGTTATATATTGTGCCACTTATATTGGAAAAAGTTAAACACAAAGTAGTGATATTTATAAAAGTGCACATAATGACAGAAACTGAAATAATTCAGATATGAAATTATATAAAATTAATATTCAATAATCATTACTAGTAATTTCTATATTGACATTCATTATTTTATCTTCCTAAAAGTAAAAGAATAAAAATAAAAAAAAAATTAAAATACAATTAAAATCAATTATGATTTAATTTAAATATCAATGAATTATAACCGATATTTCAGACTATCTTTTTAAAAAAAATGTTTTTCCTCTCTTGATCGATTGCCTAAAATTCAGAGCCATGGCTCAATTTTTTTAACCTCAAAGAAACGTTAGTTATTTT